GTGCTTTGCCGGCACGACCAGAGGTGAAGAACATGCATCGCCTGGGGGCGCTCTGAAGGAACGCAGATGTGCAGGTGGAGCTATGTGAGATGGTGGTGCTGCCTTACTTCACGTTTTGCCACAGAAGAGACGTCCTGGACCGAGCCTCGGTTTCCCTGTTTTGTTCTCTCTTGAGATGCCTGGGATCTGAGAATCCAGCTGTTTTTCTTCCTGCCTCTGACGTCCGTGCTGGTGATGCCGGTCCTGCTGTGGGCGCTGGGCTGATAATGAACAAGGCAGGACACGCGAGCTTACTCTGCTGTGGCTAGACCGGTTCCTACAGGGCCAGTGGGAGTGAGACCTTGTTTGTGGGTCAGTAACGTTAGCAGGAGTGAGTCACTGGCACAAGGGGAGCGGAAATGAGGCAGAAGGGGCCATCGGAACAGGCTTTTTCTGGGCCCTATCCACGGAATCTCCTGCCTTTAAAATCTCAGCCCTAGCAGGCGTGGCCATGTCGCTGCTCGCGTTGACTCCTGCAGCAGCTTTTACATCCCTGCCCTTCTCATATTAAACAGCTGGCCTCAGTTGTGCTCACCAGAGGCACTTTTTCCTGAGCGAGGGCCACTGTAAAAGGCAGCAGGCCGGACCCTAAGGGGAGGGAAGCAGGAGGCTACGTATGAGGCCCCAGGAGGGGAGTACAGGGTCTGATCCAGGAGATCAGGATGACCGAGCGGAGAAGCCCTGACTCCCAGTCTGCTCCCTGGTCACGCGGATGGAGGGTGCTGCGTTGTGGCATGTCTGAAAGAGGAGGTGATTAAGCAGGTTGGGTGTTGCAGTCTCCGCCCCGCCTTGCGTAAGGGGTGCGGATGTGGGACTAGCTCACATGGCAAAGTCTGCTGGCGTGAGGGGGCACGCAGAAGCCTCATGCTCCGGTCATTTAGTGGCCCTTCCTGCCATCGACCATGTTGAGATACCCGGGTATTATCCCATCTAAGTGGAGGTCCTAAGATGTTACTTCCTGTACTCCCTACACATCGTGGGGAGGAGCCGTGCATGGCCCCGTAACGGGCGGCAGGCACTAGGACTGCGGGCTTCTCATTATCGTGTGCGTGAACCCTGCGCAGAAGTGCAGCATGATGACCACCCAGGCGCTAAGGTTACATCAGCTGGGTCCTGTTGGGGCAGGCAAGGCTCAAAACAGGACCTAAGAAATTTCTCTCCAGTGCTGCCATTCGGTTCGTCTGACATTCGGTGAAGCTGCTGACACCCTGTCTGTACCTGGGCTCCCTCCTCCCACGGGAATGTCTTTCCACTGTTCCCTGATGTACGCACAGCCTGGGCGCTTGAGAGAGGAGGTGGCGTGTGCTCCTCGCTCGCAAGCAGGAGGAGCTAGGTCCCAGAACAGGGGAGTTCGCCTATAGGGAATCCCGAAGAACCGCTAAGCCTAGGCAGATGTTTCCATTCTGGACTCATGATTTGAGTTACCAGTAAAACCAAAGGCCAGGAAAAAGGTATGTTTGGGTTATCTGTGGTGTTGCTGTGCTCAGCAGGGCGGC